CAGTATACCCTCCCCCGCCTCCACGCACCCCACCCCGAAATGCCCAAGAAGACCAAACAGCCCCTCGCCCCGGGCTCCTCGAAATCCATAACAGTGCACCTGAAATCAGCCCGCAACCCGTCCCTCGAATTCTCCCTCCCCAACACCGCCCTCTCGACGACCTCCGTGCAGGATCTCAAGGACGCCGTCCGCGAGCGCGTGACAGACGCCCAGGGCAACAAGGTCTCCCTCGACAAGATCAAGATCCTGTACAAGCGCAAACCGGTGACGGGGAAGACCATCGCGGAAGTGCTTGCCGATGAGCCGGAGATGCTATCTGGCGGGAAGGAGGTCGAGTTCGGCGTTATGATCATGGGCGGGGCGCAGGTTGCTCAGAGTGCGGGTGAGGGTGAGGGGGCAGGTGCTGAGCAGGTGGAGAGTTATGCGCCCCCCAAGCCTGCTGTTGGGCCTAGTGGGGAGAGTGTTGTGGCGACGGAGGCTTTCTGGGATGATTTGCAAGGCTTTTTGGAGCAGAGGCTGAAGGATTATGATGAGGCGAATAAGTTAAGGGTGCTTTTCCAGGAGGCGTGGAGGTCGAGCTAGAATTATTGGTGTTACTGTAGATAGCCTTTCAATGATATATTTCCTTGAGCGCGATTGTGGAATCTGTTCTGTGCTTCCTCGGAGTGCCACTGACTCCGGATTGAGATCGAAAGTGTGACAGTGCTCTCCATGAAAGTATACTATCAGCGGTGCCTTGTAGTGCAGACGCTGCATGAAGCACAAGGTCAATACAGGAATCAATTCTATTCAATGTGCTAAATTTTGATGCTAATTTCAAGGAACAGAAGCCGAGGAATTGGTATAGGAATTAATTGTTATACACAAACATATACGCATAGAAGCCAAATGAAAGGCATACTTAAGCATGCCTTTCTGGAAAATGTGAGAATTCGAAATTGCGAAATGGAGACAGGGTAGGATTATTACCGAGTCCCATCTCACACCGTATCTCGAGGCCAAGTGACCAAGGATCAGGTATGGGGAAAATGGAGGTGAGCATGAATCGAAGCCCAGCTGCAAGCTGTCGAGTTTGAACGTCGTGATAATATAACACCATCAATACCAAATCATCAAAAGCTTCCACATGGAGAGGGGGAAAGAGGAACAGCCGCAACCTGGAGGTGGAATGCCAAAATGGTCATTTCGACAGGAAAGTTCATGCATGCAAGTATGATGGCGAAAGAACGAAAATGACAAGGGAGCTATAACCACAAGACTAGAAAGGAACAAATGCCAGGTAATTTGACACCACTGCAAATGCTCAAAAACTGACCAAGCGCTCATTCAGAAGAGTAGCCTAACGAATTGTCGGCGGACAATATCAGACTTCATGCATAGACAGGCAGAATCCGTCGTTATCTTGAGAAGACCTTGACAACTCCATCTCCGCCACCACTGACGACCCAGCGGCCGTCGCGGCTCCAGGTGACGGCACACACACCCTCACCACGCATCAACCGGTGACTTGTAATCTCTTGGGTGCAGCTGCGTTTCTCAAGGTTCCAGAACCGTAAGCTGGCGTCATGACCGGCGGACACTAGTTCACGTCCATCAGGAGACAAGGAAAGTGCAGCAATAGCTGCAGGGTGGGCAAGCATCGTGTATGTGCATTGGCCTGCAAAATGACGGAAAATGTCAGTGGCTTCGTTCTTACAGTCATGAATTGCAGAGTACGTACCGCTATTGGCGTCGAAGAGACGGATGTATCGGTCTTCGTATCCACTTATGATAACCCCCTCCACGGCACTGGAACCTGTAGCTCCGTGCACAACTTCTTCATCAGCCAACGTCCGACTAGGATCGAGACCCGCAGAACCATCAAAGCCGATAGTGGTTGCAACGACAGAGTTGACCCCCGTCGAGGGAGTGCCATCGTAGGTTTCCAAGCTCGCCATGCCCACAATCTCCTCGCCCGTTCTCGTGTCATATACAAGGATCGAAGCATCTGTGTATGAAACAACGAAATTGACACCTGCAAGAGACAGAGGGCTGATACAAGTTGGTGATGGGGAGTCGGTCCGGAGAATATGATGAACGAGAGTATAGTGGAAAGGTGTAGTGGTTGCGGTGCTAGGTTGAGGCGAAGATGGGAAATTAGATCCAGATGATATCGAGTTAGCCCGCCGACTTCCACCAGCGCGCCTGGAACCGGCTTGTGGTGATGATAGCTGGGGGGGTGCACTGACGGCCCAGATCAATATCCGCCCGTCTGCAGCTCCCGACGCCAGCAAGATTCGATCTGGTCCTCCGTAGTGACTAGATGAATCTCCAAACACAGTACCAGCAGTGCCAGGAAGTACGCAAAGGCCCCAAACGGCATCTGTATGACCGTCGAGTGTGGCCTTGGGATCGATCCGTCCGCGTTCCCAGACGCGCACGCTGGCATCCTGTCCACCGGAAAATACCCATCCATCACCTAGAGCACGACCACCATTTGAGAAATTCTGGGATGGGGAGCACGCAGCCAGTGCGGTTACTGCTCCAACATGACCCCGATGGGTGAAGCAACTCGTTATATCCAGATCGTTGCTTGAGTTCCCTCCGTGAGATCCATAGGCCCCGTACGATGCCGGTATGATCCATCTTTTGATCGTCCCATCATCGCTGCACGTGCAGATCTCGGGTTCGGAGGGGCTACCACCCCCAGTGAAGATTACTGAGCGGATGACGTCCAGGTGGCCGCGGAGAGCGAATCGGACTTTAAAAATAGAATCCTGTTTCTGTGTCGCTCCCGCGCCGACGTCAAGGGCACCTTCGCTCTTACGTTTGGAGCCAGAACTCTTCCTTCGATGCGATACAGATCCACCCCGTGAGGGGGACTTTGACCCGGCGAAGTTCGCGTTGGGAAAGGCATCCACGTCTGGCCGGTGAGGTGGGATCTGGGCAGTCCGAAACTCCTGAGCTGGAGTTTCATCAAAGTTCCACCCGTCCGTATCTTGTAATTGATCTTCCGACTGCTGGGATTGGACCTCCTCCTTAGCCACTGTCTGTGCGTTATCGTACTGTTGCTTCGCAGGACCAGCGCGCTCATCCAATAAGCCTGCCTCAAACGCCTGCTTTCTGCTGTCAATAGCAGTAGCGGGGGTCTGTTGTGGCTCCAGCGGTCTTTTGTCCATGATATCTCGCGTCGCAGGGGGGAGGAACTGATTGGGAGCGCGAGATAAGTTGGAATTGTCGGAATAATGGGTCACGATGGGCTGGTGATTTTGTAGTGCTACCTCGCGTGCCATCATATGATTTGCCTGCTGTTGCTGTTGCTGCTGCTTTTGGCGCTGCTGCTGAAGATAGGCTTCCTCTATACTCTGCTGGGGCATGTTGTGGTTGGCATAGATATGGTTCGAGAGTTCCAGGTCATTCAGGTCGGGAGCAGGATGCGACGTAGGGATGACATGAAATGCAATCTCCTGCGAGCATTTTGACAGGTAAAGACGCGACTTCTCCCGTTCGTTCTCCTGTCGAACGCCAGGTTGGGTTTCGGTGTCAACATCGGTGATGAGATCGGCCTGGGATTTAGACCGTTGCGCTGCAGACAAGTCAGCAATCCACTAGCACCCGGTGATTTTGCAAATTACTATCGTACACTTCAATGCGTTGATGCTCTCCCGGGCAATCTCCTTGGAGTCTCTCGTATCCTCGATCGGTTCATTGTTGCTCAGCTTCTTCACCTTCTCGCGCTCTTTCTTTAGAGCAGCCTCCAGCAGCCTCACATGCTTGCCCAATGACTCGTGCAGTCGCTTGCTCGTTCGTACATCACCTTCTAACCTGCCGATCCGGGATCGCATCTCCGCGCGCTCTATTTCCCAGGCATTGCGATCGCGCTCGTGCCGATGCCATTCCGTCTGCAGGAAGCGCATCACACCTATCCGAGAGGGAGGAATGGTTAGCTTCGAGAATCACCAATTCTAAGGCCAGAGTATCCCTGTACCCACCTTGCAGCGTATACTCCGTCCCATGGGGCTGTCCGCCATTCGAAGACCTATCACCCCCAGGCCCCATGTACCCTCCACCCCCAGCCATGGCCGAGGGAGACTGCCAAGCCATGCGAGATCAACAAGCGACAGAATCCAGGTAGGCTAAGGACAAGCAGCAGAGCTGTTCGAACTTCTGCGTCCCCGGTGGTGACAAGAAATGACGCCGAGTGTGGAGAGCTTTCGTGGCCGCAATCCTGAAAGTTTGTTGATGTAAGCAACCCCCAATCTCAACGGGTGACAACGGCAGGAAACAAGGTCCCAGGCCGTGTCAGCACCGGGTGGAGAGCAATAGTTATTATGACTCCAACGACGGAAGGGTATCGATCACCGAAACGAGAAACGAGGACGGTCGCTGTATGGTGTAGTGGCTGGACTGGCAGCTGGCGCGCGTTAGGTTCTCCTCGCTGAGGTCGGGGAAAGTCACCGCACCGCCGCTGCTGGGCTTTTGTTGGCTCCCGTAGACGCACAACTCGGCCGTCTAACCGCCTTTAGCGCTGGGGTTGTTTGGCTCCCAACCTCGTCTAACATTGACTATAGGCATACATTTGATTGGAGTTATCTGTCGAGAGAGTTCGGATTATTCGCTAACGACGCTGCGAGACTTTTTATGAAGTGTCATAGCTCCAGTATGACATGTGCCAGGTTATCGCTGAGTCTCAGTGCACGGGGCAGATCCAGCGATGCCGCCAATGATTGTCTGTCAAAGGTCTCCCGTCTACGAAGCCTGTCAGATCATCCCAACAGTGTTCTTTGACTAGGTAGGTAGTTAATGATGTGAGGCAAGCGTGGCAGCAGCTCGACTACCATGTGGTTGCTGAACTCGGAAGACCGTCATTAGTGTGAGAAGACCGTGGACCATTGCAAAGGCTCGATCTGTCATTGTGACTTCGTTGTAAATCATTATTCTCATGATGGAAGCTATCTGCTGAAGCATTATAATTCCAGTTCCTCAATCTCCATGCCACAGTCAACACACTTCTTGATCCCTATGCCTGTCTCAGGATCCTCCACAGATCGGCCCCATTGATGTACATGTCGACCACCTTTCCCCAGATCATCGCCAAAATTCCCTCCGGCAGCACCTTGACGATTACGTCGGTATGCTTCGACTCTGGTGCGCTTCTTGAGATCTTGCAGCTTGGTCTTGAATTTCGCCTCCCGCCGCCGCTTCTTCTCATTCTCTCGTCGTTCGAATTCAGCATCCAACGCTTCAGCAGAACCCCATTTCTTTGGAGAGAACGCGTATTCTTCGACTTGATATCGTAGATAGAGCATCATGTTGTTCCAAGTCGACTTATGAGGGTTCGGTCGCTCCAGGTGTGGTAAAAGCTCTTCGTCGCGGAGTTCGGCTGCGAGAAGCGCGGCGTTAGTGATTTCGCCTTTGATAGAAACAAGTTCGGGGATAGACTCACGATCGGTCAACAGATAATCTTCCTTTGCTTCCGTCTTCGTCAGAAGACTGTACTTCTCCGGGTACTTCTCCTTACAAGCATGGCATATACAACATCGGAGTAGCTCCTCCCACTTCCAGTCGATCTCAAGACTTCCACATTCGCGGCACGTTTTCTGCTTGCTTTTATCCTCTAGCACGCTCAGCCCGGGTTCGAATGGCCCTGCTCGGTCTCGGCGAAGAGAGTTGAGCAGTTGCTGTCGTTCCCATTCTTTCTGCGTCATATGCGCAGGTTTCTGCTCCTCATTCCCACCTCGGACATTCAACGCCTTGTTGTATGGATCATCCTCTTGAGTTAAGAAACCTCCTTTCGTGTCGGTCATCTTGCTAAAGTCATACTCCACATACTTGGTGAAATTGCGGGCGGGCTTGATCGCGTCAAGAGGGCGGTTCGCCGACGCATCTCGTAATGTCGCAGGTGTCTCTGACGCTGTCATAGAAGAGTATGTTCGCTTTACCCCTTTGACGCTGCTCAAACTGCTGGGTGTTGCAGCTCGTTTTTGGGCTTCCTCGGCCTCTCGTTGCTCACGAATCGCCTTGGCTTTCATGCGATTGACCTCCTACAAATGAAACGTTAGGCCAACAATGCAGCGAGCATGGCTCTTTAGCGAGTCACCTACAATCCTCCACAACTGTTCGGGTGTGAGCGGACCCCTTGGGAGCTCGCCGGGCTTGTCAGCGCCCGATTTTGCGGGCGGCGTTGAAGGTCTTTCGGCTTCCATAACGGTTGATTAGCGATAGATACCGAGAAGAAGCAAGGCAACGGAAGAGTTCCACCAGATTGTCAACTTTTGCAATTTTGGTTAACAGCTGACGCGATTGCCGATACGAGTCTGAAGGAAGCCTAACGCCACATCACGTGATGATAAGGGGTGCGACTTTGCTCTTGGCGCCTTTTGATTGGCTCAATAGGTCACAGACGCAGCTATTGTGGGTTAGGCTTTGGCAGATAAGCATGAGGACCGGGTTGATAAGCTATACTCGGCAATTGAATGACGCTACGTCTCTGCTGTGCCAGTTGCAAACCCAGCGTGACCGTCACACAATTCACCATCGTCTCTTTCCTGTCCATACAATACCTCGCAGACACCTCCCACAGGCACGTCCATGACGGCATCAGTGCCCTCGGACCAAATGTCTTTCCAGTTGACTTTGCGATTCTGCGGTCCCATTATCTGATACGATGTCGCGCCAGGCTTCATCTTGGCAGCACCGCCGGGTCGTCGTCGGCCCTTGCCATCAATCACAGCTACATTGGCGACTTCGTCCACGATATTCTCGATACTATTCATCGGTAGGGTCAGATAACCCGTGTTATAGGATGCCAGAGCGACATAGATGTAGATGATCAGCATGACCAGCCATGCGGGGATAGCGAGCGACCACCACCGATTTGGGTAGTAGTAGATACCGAGCTGATGCAGGAATGGGGACGGTAGGTAGGACCAGAGTATATAGATTACTATTGATAAACATGTTAGGATGGTGATCAGTTTCTGCAGCGCATCGGGTTCGACTCACGGAAGGCCAGCGATGAAGCCAGGTATAAGACAAAGCCGTAATACTCATAGGTCGGGACTTTCGGGCTGGCGCGTGGGACGGTCGTTGCACGACGGGCGGATTTCGCGACAGCCGCCTCAGTATCATTCGGTGTTTCCACGTCCGAGCTATCAGGGGTAGTCGGCCGGGAAGTAGTAGTCGAGAAAGGGGGACGAAGAAGCGAGGTCAACGAGGGAGACGGCGGTAGGGGGGTGGGAGGTCTGTTATAGAATGGAGGAGCGAAAGCATTAGGCCCGTGCAAAGAACTCGAAGACCTTCGAAACGGGTGACGGCCATCTTCGGGAGATTCCTCATCTGATTCCGTCGAGGCGTCTGAGAGTGACTGATTGTCTAGAGAATAGTTGGACTGAAAATCTGCATCTTCCTCCTCTGCAAGATCGTCGGTTGTAGGCGAAAGCATGTCTGGGTCGTCCACCCCTTGGTAGCTGTCGTTTTGCACATCGCGCATTGTTGTCGCAAATTCATCTGCAGGGAGAGGAGGGAATGGCTGCTTTGACTCTCGTGATACAACTCGTGCGGGACCATGACTACCATCGATGAGCCGGGACCGCTTTTCGTCGCCCATCTCTGGAAATGACATGCTTGAGCATCGATTCGTGTGCGAACCAAGCTGTGGTGGTATGAAAGCAGATCGACATTCTCCGAACCTGTCAACTATACTGCCGCCTCTCACCGCTCAATCTCCATGCTGATGGTGAGATGTTAATCTTGTAGGAAAATAATCCAAGTCGTTCGAAGATTATGTTATGAGAGTGCATATCTTGCTCATAAGACAGTTATAAAACTTGCAAAAGGGTCACCATTCAGTCAGCGATTTGAGGGTGTAACCAACAAGTCTTTAGAGGATATAGCTCACTACCCACGGAGCTACATATATTCGCTCTAGACACAGAGTATGACTGGCGATATCACTTTGACAAGAACATAGCAATGGTCACTGTATCTTGCCATTGAGCGTACATCATGCGATAACCGGGCTATAAATCTTGACTATTACATTGACGCCCCAGAGTTTTCATGGTACCTCCAAAAGTCATTCACAATTGGGCGGACAACCCATGACATACGTCTACTCAGAAACCAGGAGACCCCTTCTGTCTCGAGATCCATTATCTATTTTCCCGTGGTCATGATAGGTTGAGCCAGAGTGGTTGACGCTCAGATCAGATCTGCAATTTCCACTCCTACCGCTTCACTTACGAAGTACACACAGGGCGATCTCAAAGCCACCTTTGCCACGGATAGCCAATCAATTGTTCGCGAGGACAATGGATGAGTTGACTTGGTTCTTGTTTGATCTCGTCACTCGTCAAGGATAAAGACATTTGATACATCCGGTTGTCATCAGACACTAGCAAACTACTTAACGCACCATGCAGCTAAAGTTGCACGAAGAAGCGGATTGTGCAGCAGGGTAGGCGAGGTTTCTTGCAATGAACGCCGACCTTGAAGCTCCTGGTAATCTCTTTCGAGTTCCCACTCTTGCCTTAGGACAAATCAATCATCGGCTCCGAGAGATCGAGTATGGATTGGAATGGAATGAAAACAGGTCATCCATTCAAGATTTGAGCGCCATACTTGGACGAGCACTCACCCCTTACTTGGGTGACTCGCTGGCATCAGCGACTGTCAGCCAATTTTTATCGAATCAGAGAATGTTTCCACTGTGAGAGACTCGAGAGTACTGCTTCTCCAGGCTCCAACAAATCAACTGAGGATGCAATACCGTATGCTTGTACATATTGCAGTACGCAGCTTGCATGCCTTGTCATCTCGAAAAGCCGTCTAGTCGCCAGTCAATTACGAATGTGACAGTCACTGAGATGGCCGGGGAATCAATAGGCTTGCAGATCTAGCCTTGAGTCCCGCCATTCATCGCACCCTTGTTTGTGACACCACGAGATAAGAACCTCGAGCTCATCTTCCCAGCGAGTATTGTCTGTGTGCTTGGACGGAAATTTCCATTTGATCAACATGGAACTATTGAAATTCTGTTCCCAGATAAATATACCACAGTACCACGGAGGTGCCTAGCTCCTCCAAAGTCTGGAGCGGAATCCTTCAGAAAACCAGCTATCTACTTCTTCAAGCGAAGAGATCAAGATTCAAGGGAGTTAAGTCTCAAGAGACCGCGAACATGCCCCAATGAGGAATTGGCAGATTGATCAGCAACTTCATTGTCCAATTGGATGCGAAGCCACCGATCTCTAAGGGGCCACTAATACTGCTACTAGTACTGCTACTACTAGTTCCTCTCCACCGATCAACACGCGACGGGAACACAAGTCCGTGATCACGCACACTGCCATTTTGAGCAACCAAATAGAGCCGGCTCAATACACATCTTTGATCGACATGGACGAAATCGCGAATGGCCATTGTACTGTAGCGAAGTAACAACACCTTCCTCAAACTTTCTGAGCCATGATCGACGGATCATCAGTGCCTTTGAACTGTGAGAAGCTCTGGAGACAAACATTCCAAATGCATTCCCGACCACCTGGGCTTTGCATGGTCCACCATTGGCATTTCTGTCACACTAAGTTTGACTGTCGGAACACTATTGGCAAATCTGCATGCTCCATAGTCTGGCCGTTGCGCGCTGTACCATAAATGCAGAATGACAGGTCCGACGCGCCATGACAGTCTGCCTGTCTGATGGGCGGGTCGGACCCGTGATATATGTAGGGGATTACATCCCTGGGCTTTCCCGTCCTGATTCTGTAGGCTGTCCCCGTATGACCGTTGAGACACCCTGACCTTGGTTTGTATAACGGTCATATTGCAGGACCACAAGGGATCGTCATGATTCCTACCATGGCCGTCCCAGTATGGGCTGGTCCCCTGGTTGAACGGCAAAATCTTCTAGTGCGTATCGCGAGATGGAGCCTCGTAACGCAGTGTGTTGACACTCAGAATGCAGGATCCGAACAATGACCCTAACATCGGTTCTTCTCGAGGCAATGCGTCCTCGACGACCTCCGAGGCAATGGAAAGCCTCGGTGTCAAGGATTCAACCTCACTTTCAGCACTTGTGACCACACTCCTACCCGCACTGGTCATCGCCGCGTTTTGGTTCGGTCTGTTCTTGATATGTCGACGCACGCAGCTTCGCTGGTATGCCCCAAGGTCTCACTTGCCATGCTGGCACCAACAGTATGTATCGCTCCTACAGCGCCGTTGTTTGCGTCGTATGCTGAGGCATATGCAGTGAACGAAGTCCCCAGTTGCCAACGGGCTTCATCAACTGGTTTGGACACTTTCTCAAGATATCTGATGCGCATGTTCTACATTCCTCCTCCATGGACGGATACCTCTTTCTGCGATTCCTCAGGGTGCTTTGTGCTACTTGCTTTACTGGTTGCCTCATCACATGGCCTATCCTGATCCCGATTCACGCCACTGGTGGTGCAGGAAATACTCAGCTAGACGCACTCAGCTTTAGCAATGTAAAAGACCCGACCCGGTACTATGCACATGCTGTCATGGCATGTGTCTTATTCAGTAAGTGCGTCTGACAGCTCTTCCAAGCAGAATCACTAATTTGTGACACTGTAGCCTTTGTCTTCTATGTGGTCACTCGGGAGAGTATCTTCTATGCGAATTTGCGACAAGCATATCTCAATTCCTCTGCCTACGTCCATCGCATATCATCGCGAACGGTGCTGTTCATGTCTGTGCCAGAAGACTACAAGAATGAGCCCAAGCTGCGGCAAGTCTTTGGCGATTCCATTCGAAGGATCTGGATCACATCCGACTGCAAGGAGCTCATCCAGAAAGTTGACAAACGGGACAGATTAGCTTATCGGCTGGAGAAAGCGGAGACCAACTTGATTCGAGCAGCAAATTCGGCTCGTCTCAAGGCATTCAAGAATGGAGTGATCACCTCGGACACGTGTTTGGACTGCGAAAGCGGGGCGCATATCTGGCGTAAGAAGATTCGCAGACCGAGCCACCGTGTGAAGTTGTTAGGACTCAAAGTTGACTCCATCCGCTGGTTACGCGACGAGCTTGTGAAGGTATCAAAGGAAGTAGAGGACCTTCAGGAAAAGCATAAGAACGGGGAGATGCAGAATCTTTCTGCTCTTTTCATCGAGTTCAACAGCCAGTCCGATGCGCAGATCGCTCTACAGACGCTCTCCCATCACCAACCGCTTCACAT